CCACCACCTGATGTCATCGGCGACACCCCATCGCTCAACCCACTAAACTGTCATTGGCGAGGACGGACCTGTCGCTGGCTGGTCTACCGTTCTGGCAACCTCAGACCTAGACGACGACGACCCAACCAGAGTGGAAGAACCATGTTCGCTTGATCATATCAGCCATGATATAGTATTTTTCTCTCACAACAAAATAACATCAGCTGGCTTATAAGGCCCTGTTTGATTTCTAGCTCCTAAATCTAGGCAGCTAAATTGCCTCCTAAATTTTAGTAAGACCATGTTTGGTTAGGTGACTAAACCTGACATATACATGTTTATAAAGACCAAAACACCCCTCATTAATGCTAACTTGGTGCCCCTAGCATTTGGCGCCAACGGTGCCGCGCTGCTGGCTCCCGCTAGCGCCGCTGCCTCCCATGTGCGGCCTTGGCGCCAAATGCACGCCTGGCTTGCTGCTCTGCTTGGCTGCTCTGCTAGATGCTTGGCTGCACGCTAGCGCCATTCCTTGTAGCTCTGTTTGACTGCTATGGTAGCTGTTTGCCGCAATGTACATTCTCACAAATAATGTTCAAATGGTTTACAAAAAACTTTATTATTACAAACCATGGCGCTGCTATGACCTTGCAAACAAACCATTCGCTATCCAATCACGAAATTGATTCATGTTTTCATCTTCGTCTCCAAAACGTGTGGTGCCTCTAGTTGTTTGAGTTGAAGTTCCTTCCTCTATTGGTATATAGTTTTTATCTTGATCACACAAGTCAAAGAGGTCATCCATCATACCACTCTGTCTAATGAAATTGTGTAGTGTCATGCATGCCATTATTATTTTGCTTTGCTTTGCCATGGGAAAATTAGGCAAATCCAACAAAATTCTCCACTTTATCTTTAGGACTCCAAATGACCTCTCTATAACATTTCTAAGTGAAGAATGTGTATAATTGAATAGCTCTTTTTTACCTCTAGGTGCAGGCCCTTCTCTCCATTCGGGGACATGGTATTTTGTACCTATGTACTGTGCAAGAAAACCCGGTCGATTTGGGTACCCCGAGTCAACAAGATAAAATTTGTCTACACAACACAATACTTGTGTAACATGACAAATACTATGACAAAGACAATGAAGAAATGTAAAAGCCCATACATACCTACAGGTGGATGTGGAAACTTGTCACCAATTTTCTCAAGTGCATCATTGAACACCCTCATATCATGAACTGATCTTGGTCATCCAGCTAGAATAAAAGTAAATCTCATATCAAAGTCGCATACGGCTAACACATTATGCGTGGTGATTTCTTTCCTTCCTGTGTACTGGACTACCTTCTAAGTTGGTACAGTGATAGGTACATGTGTCCCATCTATAGCTCCAATGCATATATCAAAGTACGGAGCAAACCGAGGAGATTGTAACCTTCTATGAATAGTTGAAAATTGCGGATCCTTTGACCTAATGATATCAATTGCTAGCTTCATCACACTAGATGGTACCTTATCAAACTTGTTGCTACATGTCCCTAGTGACCTCTTAAATCTATTATCAGCTTGTCTCATGGACTGAGGGGCACCACACATCCACAAAAACATTGCTAGAGCCTCTGTTGAAGTCATTTTTGTAGTGGACTACAGACCATATCTCTCAACTAGCAAAGTGTGAAGGCTATAAAAAACATCGCTGTGCATCCTAAACATGTTATAGCATTGTGTCCTATGTCATATGGTTCTCATAGTCCACTGATATCTAGTTTCAAGTGGGACTCTATAACCTTGTTCATGAACTTGTCACAGTGGTACATACCTAGCAACAACACAGCAGTAACAATCCTTCTCCTCTTTTGCTGACACCTAGTAGCATGCATCATCAAACCTGCTTCCTCATCATCAGTGCAGTCCCCTTCATCATCAATATCTGACCAATCATCATCAGTACTCCACTTGTCATCTGAGTCTTCAGTAGGGGCACCATCATCAGTAGTACTCCACCAATCATCATCAGATCCTACACCAGCATCAACCACTCCAGCAGTAGCCCCTACACTAGCATCAGAAAGTCTAGCATGATCCACTCCAACAGCAAATCCCACTTCATATGCTCCCTGGTCATCATAAGAAATAGATGTTAAAAGAGCATTGAATGTTGATATGAACAAAAATACTTGGGCAGCATCACAACAACATCAACAACAATGGCAGCAACACCCATTATATTGTTCAACAAGCATTACAAGGTCCAAACATAAACCATGATTTATTACGATTACATAGTTCACCATAAATTTAAGGTCCTAAGAAAAATAAAATTAAGGCTGCCAAACTGGAGACTCCATCTGACAAGTCTTCTGCCATTCTATCCTATCCTCCTCAAGCATTGTGGGTAGCCCTCCTCAGCCATGCCATCCTTTGCTCATTTGTATCAAGGCCACTAAAGACCAACCTATTGTAGCTACTTCTAAACATCATGGTAGCCACATAGTACTCATTTGAAGCTTTGTCTGCCCTAGCCTCCACAGCCAAATTGAGGCACCTAGCAACATCATCAACTCTGGCTTGCTTTGCTTTTGCAGCTTTCCCTCTCTTGCTCTGTGCTATTCGCTCCAATGCATTGACTTCTTTCTCAGCAACAATCTCCAATTGAGTGACCAGCCCCTGCATGATAACATTCACTGAAACTTTTTTGTTCTTGCTAGGACTTGAGGCTGTGTCAGTTGTGCGGCTTGCCCTCTTGCGGCTGTTTGTGATACTTGGTGAACTGGTCTGTAAGCCACAATTGTCTAGAGTAGCAGCACCATCTTCATCATCCTCATCTATCCCTGTGTCTTGGTCATGGCATGACAGCCTAGGGATGGTGGCAGTTGAGCCATCAACAGCAGTGTTCTGGAAGAGCTCAACCATCTGAGGAAAGAATCTAGGCAACCCATACATGAATTTCCTACACTCTAGCTTCTTCTGAAAAATCACAAGAATCCACTGTTAGCACAAACCAACATGAAAGTAGAACAAGCAAACAAATTATTAGGCACAAAGATTACCCTGGTATGCCTATCCCACCAAGATAGAGGTGCATTTATCCCTCCGTTTTCTTGGCAGCCAACACCTGTTTGTAGTTGTGCCCACTTGTAGAACTGTACATGGTCTTGAGCTGGCTGAATCTATTCTTCATACATCTAATATCATGCTTTAGGTCAGTCTGTTGCTCATAGAAATATCTCAAATTATCATAACCTCTCCTTGTCATTGTCCCCTTACTTGAATTGTCCTTTCTCATTTCATCAACAGCAAGACAAGAGAACACAAATGTATTTACATCGGACCAATTTGCCTTGTCAAACTAGTAGAGAAGCAGATTAGAGAACAAGAAACAAAAATTGAAATAGACAGATATAGATCAAACAAATACACAGTACTACATAAAATATGCACAAGCTTCAATAACAAACAACTAAACAGTAGTAGTTTATATAAACTTGTAGATTAAACAAATACAACCTAACACACACCTGTAGATCAAACAGATTAGACAAATAAACACTTGTACATCGAACAAATAAAACCTAACACATCAGATCAATGAAAAGTATGAGAATCTAATAAAAAACAGACATGTAGAACCATAAATAAGACATGCCTAACATAAATAATAAATAGAGCAAAGTATGAATAAGATCAGAGAACAAGCTCACCTCGGGCGGGATGTCGTCGTCATCTTCTGGCTCCATTCCTTCAGTTGGAGGATACGAGCTGCCCGAAGCAACTGTTCCACGCATCCTAGCCACAAGACGCTGGCACGGCCATCGCCGGTTCCCACTCGAGCGGGCAAGACAAGCAGCCATGAGAAAGGGCGTTTCCCAGATCCGGTCGCTCCTGCGGTCGGCCGAGAAAGAACGAACCCTCCAACACCGGATCTGGCGCCAATGCGAAGAAGAAGAAGCCCTCTACCGCCGGGAGCGAAGTCACCTTGGAGGAGCCCCCGGTAAGAGCCCATGTAGGGGAAGCCGGCGGCGAAGGTGTTCAAATCCAGCCCCTCCATGCCGCGTCGAGCGGAGGAGCCCACACCATACGATAGCGCTTGGGAGAAGACGCCGAAGTCGCCGACGATTGGGGGGGCGACGGACTGGAGCCATTCAGATCCACCGGAGAAGAGGATTGCGAGTAATAGTCCGGATACTTGGACCCGTGGCCGTCCATGGCGAAAGCGGTGAGAGAGGAGCTGCTACGCCGACAGAGGGGTTGGGAGGAGGCGGCAGCAAAGCGGTGGCGACGACGGAGAAAGCAGAGGAGAGCAAGCGCGAGAGGGAGAGAGTGAACGAGCTGAGAGAGCGAGCTGTGAGTGAGAGGGTACCGGTGCGCTCGGACAGGACACATTGATGAAGGGCAAGCCCTGTCCAAACGTGGTTTTAGGAGCTGCTAGTAAGGTTTAAGTGACTAGCTGACTAAAGGTTGTTTAGTCTCTTTTAGTAAAGATATTTGGCAAAAAAATTACTAAAAGGGACTAAAAGCTACTAAATTTAGGAGATGCTAGATGAACCAAACACCTCTAAACCACAGAAACGATCAAGCGAACATGATAGAAAACAAAATAAACACTAACTTAGCTTCCATAGAGACAAAGTCCCTCTCAACATAAACCAGGCGACTTATTAGGCATTGCAGAGTCGACCTTGCAAAAAAGAGAGACCATCGGAGTCTTAAGCCTGTCGTTCTAACAAATTTCTTCACTCCGGTTTTTCAGCTGTGAATACTTGTTTCTTTCGTTTCATGATGTACAATGCCCTGCAATTGTGCCATCGCAGAACCTATTCCGGGATGCCTTCAACCCATGAAAAGATTACTTCTGTATGCAATAAAAACTCTGGTATCTATATTTATTTTAAAAAAACAACAAAACTTCGACCATCTTAGAACTGCTCTATTTCTGTGATTACTAACAAAGCTGTTCCTTTACTCTTTGGGAAAAGAAAACGCAATATATATGAACTTAGGCTTTGTGGACAGGACATCTAACGGAAGTAGCCGTAGAGCTCGAGGAAGCAAATGCAGAGGTTCCACGTACAGCCGGCGGCCGGGCCTGTCAGGGCGACCCTAAAGAATCGGAAGGGCAGAAGGGCCGCCGGGCCAACGATGGGCCAAGAGGCGAACTGGCCTGGATGGCAAATGGTAGGGTCGTCGTCGTGGACACGGAGGCTTGTCCAGTTCCGGCCGTCCATGGATCCCTGGCAGTTTCATCAGCTTCATAGGTTCAGCCTCGCTCCATTCAACATTCAGCAAGAGCAAAGGGATGCAAGCATTAGTTAGTACCTGAAGAGCCCAAGACCTCATGAATGTCGTGGAGCCATCCTGCCTCACCGTGTAGTAGTTGCACATCAGCTGTAAGTTAATTTGAATAACAACAAATTCATCATCCCATTATGTACTGTATTGGCAAGCGAGCTGAGGAACCAACAGATGCCAGAAATATATGAACCAACCTGGTGGTCCTGTCCGATGTCTACCATCCACCAAGAAAGCTTCGTGCCATTTTCAATACAAGGCCCAGCAAAACATGTCCCCTACAATCGTCAAATCATGTCAAATGTAATTTTGTTCAACCACCAGAAATGTCTTCCGTTTGCAAGTCATAATTCCCAATGTTATATCATACCTGGTAATTCTTTGAAACCAAAGCCTTTGGATCCGTGTGCCTTGCATTTGGACTGCTTGCCACCACAGTGATATTCTAATTGCAGAAGATTAAGATTACTTTTGTGGTTTTTGCATAAAAATGTGATGCTAACTAAAGACAATCTAGTCAAAAGAAGATGACAGAAAATAAAAAATGTTGTTGTTGTTTTAAAAAATAATAATAAAGAAACAATTCAACCTCCTTTCTTTGATTGTCATGTGGCTAGGTATTGATGATTAAACCTGATAGGTACTGGAACTTTCGGATTAAGAATGGGAATGTCTGAATTTGCCGTGTACCATGACAGTTGTCTTGGTTCTGGAATAGAACCAAAGTCCAGTTCCTATCACTCAAAACTTCCTACTTAAAGCTAGGATCTGGAATAGAACATCCTAAAAGCTAGGGTCTGACCTAAGGCCGAGATTCCAACATAAGCCAGAAGATCTGGGTCACAACTGCAACATCCAGTCCAAGTTCAGATAGAGTTTTAAGTCAATTTAAGGGTGGATTTTTATGTATTACGACTCCACACGGGGCAAGACCAGGGGACACCGCCGGTTGAGGCATCACCCAATTGATCAAAATCAATCCACTATTTTTGCTTTACCCTTTTTCCTTCTATCCTTCACCCTAAACGTTTTCAACCCCTATATTGTTCTTATGCTTCTCTTGTCTCTACGCATTCGAGGATGCCCTAATAATAGGAATTGCGTCTCCTAAACCATATTTATTTCCTTTCTATTATGGTGAAGTGTGCTTCGCCGCTTGCTGTGTTAAAACTAGCATGTCATGAGATTTTTCTTTAATAATGTACGGCCATAAACATCGCTGATGTGAATGTTGGAATATTCTATTCCATCATCTAAAAATGAATGAATAAACCAGGCTTATTAGTTACTACGCTGAATAGCTTTAAACACAAGTGAGCTTCCCTTTTACCTTGGTTAACACAGGATTCATCCACTGATGTTTTCCGAATGATGTTCCAGCATAGTAGATAACACCGTTGTTATCACCATCAGAGATATACTGCAGCTCTTTATAGCTCGAGCGCCTATGCTGAAATCTCTCACTGAAAGATTTAGGATTAACGTCAAATAGCAGTCAGTCATATCATCAATCATTCCTCCAGTTTGATCCAAGCATCAACACATACCATTCGTATGATGTAGGCATCAATTGTCCAGCATGAGAGAATTCAATGGCCTCTGCAACCTGTGGCCCAACAAGTAACCAGATTGTACACTTCCAGTGCTGAAACATGTAACAGTTGAAAAAATTATACTCTGGAGCAAGAAAGCACTAACCAACTGTCTGAATGCTTGTATGTGGCTTGCTAGATTACTTCTCTCCATCTGCAGTGAAACAACAAGCAATATTGTAACCCAAACAAATTTAATTCGGCACAAGTTGCTTCACAGTAGAATTGTATAACAAGAAAAGCAGTGTGTACCCTCTTTAGTATAGACAGCTGCATCAAAGGGAACCTCACTAATGGTAGCAAAGTATTGATGGCGGAAAGCCTCTCTCCAAAGAGCTGCTCTGGTGTTGAAGTTCTCAAGAGCTCATCTACTGAAGTCCAGTGAAAAGTTTCGCAAGCTCCCATGCACCATGTTAAAATGACATCCAGAACCCTCTCTTCCGACGTTACAGTCATATCACCATGCTGCACTTCCATGCAGATTCATTTGTTTATGTAAAAAAACTAAAATGATAATATAAAAACCAGAAAGTCTTAACCATATCAAAACCAAAAGAATTGGACTCATAAAATGTCATTTCCCTTATAAACTATGAATGTGTACATTCATCAGCAGAGTAAACATGAAGATATACAAAATTATCGAGATATTCTTGAAATTGTTGGGAAGCTGCTGCATAGTTAATTGGCAATCCTTGCAACTGGAAAAGTTATCAAGGGATGCCAAAAATTAAGAAAGAGACATCTATTTGTTAGGAAAAATGCAACAGGACTGGAAAATTGATAAAACAATAAATCATAAGCTTTTTTCTAATTATTGCCAATCTTATGTGAGGCAACACTTGCCAATCTATAGCTTTAAGATATGACAATTTCCATTTCACATTAGACCACTAACATCTTGATTATTTTGTGATGTTGAATCTTGATAGACACCCTAATCTATGTTCTCAAGGACACAATTTGTATCTAGTCTAACTGCAGTAAGCTGATATAACAAAAAAGGTTATATTACTTGCCTCAAGAATATCCTTAAATGTTGCCTCATCTAACAATACAAAGTCCGTGCAAGCAGTTGTGCAATAATCAAAATGCGTAGCAAAATTCCTCTTGCATACTTCTTCAAGCAGTTTACAAGATGGGATTGATGAAACTGCCTGTAAGACTGAACATACAGTGTCCTGCAATAAACTTTCAGGGGTCAGTCTACACTGAACCAGCTACAAGTTCACCCAAATTTTCAGAAGCCATATCCCTTAAATTTGGAAAAAACTAGAAACTAGTCTTGTTGGATGAGCTTCTTCCAGTAGGACACGCGAACCCTGCATATATAACGCACGTGGAATGAATTAATATCTCATATACTTTATTTCTGAGGCTAAGGGCCCCACTAAGTTTGGTCACGTCTACCACAGGCCACTGCAAGTCTTGAATAGGCAAGATATAGCTTTTAGGAATTGAAAGAAAGGCCAGGAACTGTAGCCGAAGTATATAGACATGAGATATATTGCATAAAAAGCTAAAAACAGCATTTCCCTTTTGCCAATGTACAGACATCACTGAATGCAGAATGAAGTGTCACAGGTGCCTTTTTAAGAACAGCACAGCTCTACAAACTGGTGAAAACGAATTACTTTCATAAGTAGTCTTTAGTTCTACTAAGTTGTATATCTTTCAAAAAAAAAGTTCTACTAAGTTGTACCAGTAACTTTTCTTGGTGTAGCGTTCTATATCAAAGAAAAAAATACTTACCTCTGAAAGGTATTCCATTATTTGTTTGCAGCATTCAAACTGAAGAACAGTGATGACGAACTGATCTGCTAGTAGAAGAAGTTGAACCAACATTGATGTAGTATCCCTAGTATCCAACTTAAGTTCCCCGTGATACATAAACTGAAGGAGGAGAAAGAATGGTTCAGGAGGAACATCTCCGAAAAAGATATCCGTGGCACTGCTTTCCTTCATCCCGTTTGTGAACATCTGCACAAACATTTGTGCCCATACTTTATTTACGAAAAAGTGTGCATGATGCCTATTAACTAGTGAAAATGTGTACCTTGGCAAGTGGCACGCTCCACAGGCTAAGGATAATCTTGTGACCCTTAGCGACAAGACCATGTCCATTAACATAGATATTTATATCACTATGTTCACCATTTGCAAGGAACTCTCCAACTTTCTGCACATTCATTGGTGCTTTGAGTGGAGAGGAGTCAAATTTATGATCTTGGAGTCCGCTTTTTGGTAATTTTATTAAGATTTTTCCAGAATCAGAAGGTGTCTTATCCACTTCTAAACAGCCAATGATTTCTTTACAGCACTTCACCAGTGGTTCAACTTTAAACTGCGAGCTCAACTCCAGCAGAGAACTTAGTAACCATTCAGCAATCTACACAAACAACAAAATGGAAGACGGGGATTCAGTTTCGGGACTTTGCTGGATTCTAAGAAAAGAACAGACAAAACACGTCAAAGCAGCTTACCTGTGTCGAACCTGTATAGATATACTCAAGAAGGGAGTGGAGAACAGGGTAGGATGCTGATGGAAGCACAATGGTAGCTCCATCCCCTATTTCAAAAGGGAAATCTCCAGAGGCACACAAGACAAGTTTGTGTGCAGGGACGACCCTTCTTTCAGCGCCAACGACAAATACAGCATCAGAGAAATCCCAGTTCTCTAGAAAGTCTGCAAGTACCCTTTGATCACAATCATCTCTCGACAGTCGTTTCCTCGCATAGTCTCCGGCGTCAGCAACCCAGTGGACATTGGCATACTCAATTTGAGTCCAAAATATGCTATTTGGGGGAGCTGATGGAAGAAGGCTTATGTTTCTGTACCCTACATGCTTGTCCCAGCTGGATAGGCCGACATACTGAACATGTGGGTTGGGATCAGGATCAAGCCATTGGAAGAGGAGATTGTTGCTTGGATGCTTTCCTTGGCCGATGCTTATGTATCCGTCATAGATGCTGATCCAGTAGCTCTGGAAAGACGAGGAGCAGCAGAGGCCGACGGCAGCAACATCAACAGCAGTGCTTCCATCTACTTCGATCTTGAGCCGTTTGTTCCTATGGCTACCCAAGATGACGGTGTAGTGGCGGCTGGTGTCCGTCTTGTAGTGGTAGTGCTGGCTCCCAAGCTGGTGGCGGAAGACCAGGGTGACATCATTCTGGGCTGATGCCTCGAAGGCGATGCAGCCACGGCCAGGCTCCCCGAAGCGAAGCTCCTCGCCCCACGCGCACTCAAAGGGGGCAACTGTCAGAGATCTCTTTGTCTCCTCCACAGATTTCATTGGGTTGAACTGAATGGTTTCCAAGATGCTAGTACACCGAAAACAAAAAGAGCAGTGATTAGAGAAGTAAACTAAGAGCGATTGGATACGCAAAGAAAGTTACTTACCAGGAAGAAGATGAAGAGAAGGCCCGGCCGGACGGGAGGGGCGGCGACGGCTGCTGCAGCTTGGGAGGACCTTCCCCCGGCTGCCCGGCTGCTGTCTGCGTGCGCGGAGGTCAAACTCGGAACTCGATTGCAGTGTAGCGCCGGAGTCCCTGTCCAACTCCAACTCCAACTCCAACAGCGAGCAAGATGCTGGAAGAAAATCCAACTTCCAACGCCACCATCTCGCGAACGAATGGTTTTCCTTTTTCTTGGGCCCCAAAATATCTGCAGCAAGTGGCCAAATGACATGACAATGATCCTATCCCAAAACTCCATCGCCCTCAAAACAAGATAGCATAGGTCCAAACGCAGTGCGAGGAATACAATAGGATTTGAGTTGTACTATCTCAAACTATTCTAAATTTGATCAGATTTATAGTATATATAGATAATAATTATTACCATATCAAACAAGCATCATTATACAAAGTTAAAGAAAAAACTATAATTTTGATATAAAACAAGGATATAAATGCTAGAGTCTCCTTATATATATTATAAAAATGCATTTTTCTGGTTTACCTCTTGGATGTTTTTTACATAATGGATTTTTATAGTCCCGTCTCTATATCCACGAAATGATATACATAGCCCAAATAAATCAAAAGCACTTAGACTCACACCTCAACAAAGAGAACGCACAACCATAAAAGAAAAAAACACTACGACTTTGACATCCCTCATTCCCAACATCCTCTTCTGCAACGGCCAGATTCAGTGAGTGAAAGTCGTCAAGTCGCCCCCGCCCCTGGTGCACCATCGTTACGAATCTCCGTTGCTGCGATCTTCATCCAGTTCAAGTGGCCCACCTTCATCCATCGTCGCCCGGTCAGAACTAACCGATCAGACGCGAACCGACAGGATCCGCTTCCGCTTCGCTAGATTTCTTGGCCTCTGCCGCCCGTATGGCAGCCGTCGTCATTGGGACGGCCATCGTCTCTGCTGGAGTCCTCTGTCACTACCGCCACCTCTAGAGCCGACGCTGCCCGACGGGATCCGCCTCCTCCTCACTGAGATCTTTACACCGGCGCTCAGGCCACCGTCGCCCCTAGGGTACCAATGGACCGATCACGGTAGCAAACAATCACCACGTCCATATGCCGCAGCCACCTCTCCATGACTAAGCCATCCACGAGCAGCCCGCATGCCCTAAACGCGCTGCCATCGTGTAGCCCACACGCTGCCTACCACGGCTACTGCTGTCGACAAAAGATGTTCGGCAGTCCTCCGAGGGGTATCCCACGAAGGTAGATTGATCGGCAGAGGTGCGTGTAATCAAGAATAAGAAGGCAATAGAGACACAAGAGTTAGATAGGTTCGGGCCATCCGCACGACGTAATACCCTACTCATGTGGTCTGTTGGTTTGTATTGGTTGTCGTATGATATTGTGTGTGTTTTGAGGGGGTCCCCTACCCGCTTTATATAGCTGGAGGTAGGGTTATAAGTCGGTTAGATCTAGGAGATAACCGGTAAGTAATAACATATTACAGGGATCATGGGATCGTAACATATCCTAACAGATTACGCCGTATCTTCAGGATATCTTCTCGATGGCTTGCGGGGCGCGCCGAGCAGCGCCGTGCTCCACAAGGCTTCGTCTTGTGGGCTGGACCACCACTGGCGGCGTAGCCCATGTAGTCTGTCGTGGGTATCTGGGGTCGTACCCCCCACAGCTAGTCCTCGAGCGCCTTGCATCCGCTGTGCAACGCCGTCTTGAGCTTATCCGAGAAGGTGTAAATAAAGCCGAGCAGTCAGACTCATGGTCTAACCACCCTAATGAGTCGCCGAGCTGTTGTGGACCGTAACCGACCAGCTTAACTGTCCGGCTGAGCACGGGCTTACCCAACTAAGGCTTGTCAGAAGGATGTAAGGAGCTCAAGTTTGAAATTGAAAATTTCCTCATAGTGGACCAAGTGTGCCCACTTAGAGTCCGACCACGAGAAAGGGAGATAATCTTCTTCAACTTTAGGAGACACGGAGTCTTCTAGATTAAAGAAAACACACTCACCGCAAGGTGAAGTGTGCCCACTTAGTCTCCGAGCCTAACAGTAGGTGACGTGGTCACGTGGTGCCAGGGTCCAGAAAGTAGAAGAAAGGCAGAAGACCAGCCGAGCAGGCAACCAGTCCATGGGCTGAGCCCTGAAATGAAAAGCACACATTCACCGCAAGGTGAAGTGTGCCCACTTAGTCCCCGAGCCTGATAGTAGATGACGTGGTCAGTGGTGCCAGGGTCAGAAACAACAGTCCCCAGTATGGTGAGAAATCGAATCATAATGATGACGTAGTCCTCGAGCCATAAGTGAAAATCTCGGATAAATTAGGAAGTGCCGATTACTCAAATCGTGGAGAAAAAGTCAGAGTAATGACTGTATAGTAGAAATTTCTGAGCCTTGATGGTATTGCGGAGTGGTCGGCGAATATTCGGTGTGCGGTACCAAGTTGCATCGAAAGATGGGCGATATGGGCCGCAGTTGCACAAAAGTCCAGATAACGGCCCAGCACGCTGCTTCGGCGAATTCGGAAAGGCGCAAATCAACATGGTGCGGTTCCCCAAAAACCCTTAAATGCGAAGATTGGGGAGGAAGCTTGTGTAATCTTCATCCGAACACTATTTTGCACATTTCTGTGTTTATTCACTTCTGCGAGGGCTATCTTGGTATTCTTCCCCATTTCAATCTCTGCCGACACTTTTTCTGGCTGAAGAAGAAAGGAGGCGGTTCCAAAGTTGTCATCGGTGTGTATCTACAGCTCCACGACGAGATGGTGAGAAAATACATTCGTGTGCCGCTGAATACCTCGCTGAAGGGGTGGAATTCTAGGTGGTTCTATATGAAGCAAAGTGATCCTGCCGTCCGATGCGATGTCGACCAGATTTTGGAGAATCAAAGGAGTTGGTCGGAGAAACCAACCAGTGCCGATATGGAATAGGTGAAGCAGCTCCTCGAGCTAATGAGGGGCATAAAGGTGAGCGGAGTGGTGGTGGCGATGAACTTCATACTATGCCGCGTCCAGCCCTGCAAGGAAAGGGCTCATCCGGGCTTTGACTTCAAGGGAGATACTGACGGCATACGGGAGAGGACGGAGAGACTGGCGAAGGAGGCTATGCTACACCGGGCCGCTGAACTATTTGCTCCAAACATGTCGTACACTATGCCGGGGCAGCCAAACCCTTCAACTGCATGAACTCTCCTCCTCAGGTAAAAATCTCGACTGTTGTTCCTGGTGCTTTTTATCCCATGCCGACGCCGAGCAGTGGACTAATTAGCTTGTGGAAAGATCCATTTGTAGGAACGGGTGGTGTACTTCTCGGGCATGTCGAGGAATGATTGGCCAGAGGCAGTGGACGCCAGGCCCACCACTCAGCCGGAGGAAGGTGCCGTCAGCACCTCGTTCAAATCTGAAGGCGAAGGTGCTGGTCAGAAGGAGAGTCCCCCCGGTATCAGAGAAAGTTCAGGGGAAAAGGGCGGTGAAAGATGAGTCAGCCCAAAGAAGAGAAGAACAGTGGATGTAGCTCCCCGCAAGCTAGTCGGCATCTCATTTGGCGGTGGTCAGACCACTTGGACGCAGAGTGCGGTGATATCCTAGTGGTCAGACAATGATGGGGCTCCAATAGCTCCCCCTCGGAGCACTAAAGCGTCATCACGCAACACGCGTACGGAGGTGCAATCGAAGGGAGGGGAAGGAGTCCCCGGGCAGCAGGCGGAGGAGACACCGACGGCGGGGGCCGCAAGACCTCCAGCCCAGGGCACACGGGTTGACCCTAGAGCAGCGCCTGGGTGCTCGGGGAGGTAGTGCCGGTTTAGAACCATTTATCGAGAAGCTGATGTGTAAGTATCTTTGCCTTGGGATCGGTAGCTATCTGATTTTTATAGTTGCAGTGATCGATAAGCTAATCTGATACAGAACGAGGCGCGCGGAGGATCTAAATCCTTCAGGCCAGACTGGCGAGCAGCCAGGGGAGACATTGTGGGCAGACTCCATCCTAGAGTCCTCGGGCGCTCGTCGGTTTGTGGAGGAATCGACCACCACTGCTGATGGAGTTGGAGGTGGAGAGCGGTCGGTGACAACGGCGGGCGATTTGATGGAGACGCCAGGAGCAACAGCGAGAGCCACTGAGTCATCGAAGGCAGGAGCGGGAGCTGCCGACGTCATGCCAGAGTCTGGGGCGTAGAGGCCGGCAACGTCGGAGGAGCAAGCGGAGCGCCCTGAGATGCTATAGGGCATGGTCGGTCGCTCTGTGCGGCCACCGAGCCCCCAGGGAGCACCACCAGCTATGGAGGAAGAGGACGAGGTCGAGGAGATTGAGTGTGAAGGATCATGACCTCAAGCCATTCGCATCCTCCGCAAGCGAGGGGAGGAAATTGTAGTCATAGAAGAGGAGGACATCACCAGGGAGGTGAAGAGGCTACGGTCCACCCTTTCCACAGCTATGAAGCAAATTGAGGTTAGTATTGCATCAGCGGTGTTCGTCTTTGGCATTGGAGACTATGGTATTTTATAATCTTGGTGCTTTGCAGGGCATAACGTGAACTGCCGTACAATGGCAGCAGTTGATCAAAAGGATGGAGCCCCTCGCCGAAGAGAACGAGAAGCTGAAGGAGGGGATGAAACTGATGGAGAAGAACATCTAGAGGGCCCAGCGTGAAAGGGATCTTGCTGAATCAAACACCAAGGACCTAGAGTACCAAAAGGGCACCTTATCCAAGCAATTGAAGATCATCTCCGAGCAGCTGGGGTGCACCTTCGAGCAGCTAAAAAGCAGCTCTGAGCAGCTGGAGCGCACCTCTGAGCAGCTGAAAAGCGTCTTCGAATAGAAGAAAGGTACTATGGATCAGTGAATTTGTTCTGCATTA